AAAATAAAAGTGAACCAGCAAGGCAAGTACTGTACGAGCCAAAACATCTGATGTGCAATCCAAAATCAACGAATAATACTTGCTTTCAATGATTTGGTCGATTATGTGTTGTCGCACTTTATTTCCAACGATGGTGATGAGTTCATTCTGTGTTGCGGGGCCTAGATATTTATTTCGAGAGCTACTTTCTAAATGATTTTTCATCACCAAATCAAATTCACCAATAGTTTGAGCCAGTTCATAAAAGTTGCCACTCGTATTGTCCGTTCCGGCAAATGCAATATTTTGTCGTGCCAAAAACATTGTCATTGCAACAAATCGTTCAAACACCTGCTTCAATTGCTTCTTTCTATCCAACAAACTCTTTTCCAATTGACATTCAATCGTAGTGTTATTCGATAATCTGTTGAATTGCTCCTTCCAAATACAGAAATTATCCAAATGACTTGCTGAAGTGTCATGACGTTGAATTGCTTGCGACAAATGTCTCCAATCTGAAAAGCCTTGACTTGCGTTGAACGGATTGAGTTGTGCATTTGAATTGAAAAGTAAACAGCAAAAACAATGAACTGAATCAAGCTGCCTTGAATAAATCAACCATTCCCGTTTAACTCTTTCGTTGTTCGTGAGCGTTTTAGAATAATAATTTGAGGAAAATGTACGCCCATTCGTAATCGGAAATTTCATATCAATTTGATTTGGGCCTGTTTGAATAATACGCGTTCTCAGATTCTCTGACAATGTTGATGGAAAATTGGCCACGTCAGATATATCAATTTCCAAATCTAATCGAAAAAACATAACAATTGGATAAGTCAGTTGCCAATTGTACTTTGGAAAGGCAAAAATTGTTTCGCAAGTATAATAATGACCTGCAATCAATACCGATGCACCTAAAGATGGCGATATTTCTTCGACTTCCATCTTTTCTGTTGCTTCATTTTCCTCTGATAAACCACTTTCCATCTCTTCTGATAGATCTTTTGTATCGGACGCATTGCTATCAGTTGCTGATGGTATTTTCTCAAAGGTGCTAGCATCTTCAAAACGAAATGAATTAACAATGGCACAATTTCAAAATCACTGAAACACAAACCTTGGCTCCGAAAATAACAATCGAGCTTCCGCGTTTTTTTTACGCAATCAGCCTCTTTAGCTTCTTTCTCTTCGCGCCTTTTCTTGAAGTCATACCCTGATGGTTTTTTATTCATGGTATTTTATTCGGTTGAAATTTCAGTCAAATTTTTATTTATTCGCACGAAATATATTTGATATAGACACAATAGAATGAAATCAGTGCTCAATTAGACACTGGTCGAACGAATGATTCGTGCTCTGTATAATGCGACGAAATCGCAATGCGCTTATACCGATATCGAACACAGAAAAAAAGATTTGTCATCATTTTTTTAATATTTGCAGCACTTTCAGTCTACTTGTATACAAGCAAGTGTTTTGTTCGTGTGGCGTGATTCATACTTCTTCAGAACGATATCGAACTGAGTTTCAATGTTTATATTCGCTTTAATCAGCTGTTGTGAAAACACGTTGCCATTTTGAGTGTTAAACAAAAAAAACAATTTTTCGATGTTTAGTTAATTTCAATCGCTTATGTCGATACCAGCGATGACAACAAAACGTCGTAATCTCGCGCTTTTTTCCAAAAAAAAATTGCATCGCTCGTGCGCCTTCGGCGCTCTCGCGCCTTTTCATTTTTAAAAAAATGCATAGCTCGTGCGCCTTCGGCGCCCTCGCGCCCGTGTGCAATGCACACGTTTGCTCCTATGTAAAAAAGTCCCTGCGGCCAAGGCCAAAATGTCGGCCAAATCAAAAAGTGGCGGAACAAAAAAGTCTTAGTTTTTGATATAGTTCAATGCATGAAAGTTTGGAAAAGATCGGACAAAAAGTACGGACGGACGGACGGACGGACACACAGACAAAACTATTATCTCAGAATAATTGGTGGAGACGGCAAAGAAAATTTTCAAATGTCCATAACTCATGAACTGATGGTCCGATTTCGACGTTCTTGGTCTTGTTGGAAAGGTCTCGACGAGAAGCTTCAGAAAAACTATGTTTCAAGATGGCTAAGCCGCGTCCACCCCCGGTAAATGGCAAAAACTGAGAATTGCTCCAAATATTTATGTGGCCATATCTATGGAGACGGTTGGTCGATTCCCAAGTTTGAATGCATTTTCTGGGCCTATGAGCCAAGGGCTTTCTGACGATACTTCATTCATACCAGATGGTCTCTTAGAAAAAAAGTTCGAAATTGCGTGTATATATAGGCGAGTTCGACTTTCAGCACAGAGGTGCTTTCGTCACTCGCGCCTGCTGTCGCCGGCTGTGATAGTGAGGTTATGTTTCAACCATTAGATTTTGTTGAATTTTGAACGTTATAACATTTGTGTTGTTTTTGTACCGATGTTTCTCTTTCCATTTTTATGTGGTTAATATAGACATAATATTTCCATTAGTTTTGAACACTTTTTTTCTCAAGTGCTTTTATTTATACACAAGACGTTCAGTTGTGCATCTATGCAATTCCATCGCATATTATTATCGCTCCTCGTACAAAATGACGTTCAGAGCCTATCCAAAATCAAAGCTAGCCTCAAAACAAAGCGATTGAGTCGTTTATTTGTCAACAATGATTCAGTTTTGGCCGATATTTCCAGCATGGCGCCTAAATGAATGTATTTACTGTTGGAGCCGTTTGACACACCATGCGGCATATCCAGCCGGAATCAAGTCCAAATCGACAAAAAAAGTCACTTAACTGCTTTGTTTAGGAGCTAGCTTTGATTTCAGATAGGCTTTTCATTTCTTTTTAAGGGAAACTGGTACATAATAGGAAAACAAATTGATTATTGGCCAAAATGGATGTAAAATCCAGTATTTATATATAGAGCGTGTCAGATAATGTTTGCAATTCATCCTCATTATTTGGTTCCTTTTTTAAAATCATTTTAAAATTGGGTAATTCAAATTCATCCATCATATATGGTTATAGATCTTAATAAGCAATCTGAACGTTGCCATCAATATTTTATTTTAATTCAAACTTTTTGTTTTAGTTTATTTTGTGCATTCTCGCATTTCTTTTTCATCAAGATTTGTTTGGTTTTAAAGTAAATTGTATTAAAATTAATTTCTTCGGACTATTTAAATACAGATCACAGTATGAGGTTTGGTTTCATAGTTTTTCTCACACAATTCGTACGACCCAATTTTTTTTTTTGACATAATCGGTAATTTGCTTTTTGGATATAATCGGGTGAAATATTTGACTAAATCGGAATTAGGTTTTAAAAGAAAGGTGTCTGTAACGAGTTGCAATACAATCCAATTTTTTTTGTTACATTCAACTTCTAGCAGTGTGTGCCGTTTCACTTCAAGTCAGAAAAACGACTCTGTATTCGTTTTCTCTCCAAAAAAAAATTATTTTGAATGAAACGTAGCGTCATTAGGCCTGAAACTAATCTCTATGAATAATGTGGTGAAACATCTTACAGAAAATTACTGTCTCCTAGTCACTGGTTTCTCTGTCTCGCATTATGTGAATTGCACTGTGCCTTTTGTACATTTAAAAAGTATTTGTATATGAAAAAAAGTAATTGAATCGAAAAATTTAATGGATTTTAATGATGAAATTTCTCTGCGTGATAAACTCCTTCTTTGCCGGTGTCAACATCTTAAGAGATATGTATTTGTGCCGGTACGTGCAACGATTTTACTTTTTATTTTCGTGGCGCCAATTTCGAAGAGTAATAGTTCGCGTTGGATAATTTCATGTTCGCTCGATAGACGATGTCACCGATTTCGTAGGGTATTTTCCGCGTACGTAAATCATAACGTTTTTTGGATTCTTCGTATGCAATTCCCAAACATTCGCGGACTCTTTTTCGGATTTTGGCGAAGTGTGCCGGATGACGCGAAGGTTGGGCATTCTGATCAATGAAATTATCGTATTCGGAACCGTGTTGAGGCATGTTTTGGCCAAAAACAATGGCGCAAGGGGTTTCGGACGTGCTCGTGTGCTTGGAATCGTTCATCGCATTGGCAATTTCTTGCAAATGTATGTCCCAATCACGATGAGAATTATCATCTTCAATGAACGATTTAATTGCGTTACCAATCGTTTTGTTTGCAGCCTCGGTACAGTTTGCCTGTGGGAAATATTTTGCCGTATAATGTGGCTCAATGCCATACTCTTCTAGAAATTCTTTATACAATAGTGATTCATATTGCACACCGTTATCAGACACGATAATTTTTGGAGTTGCATGTTTTAAACAGACTTCGTCCCGCAAAAATTTTACTACTTCTTTGGCCGAAGCCTGAGTTACAGATTTTACTTTTCCGTACACACCGTGTCAAGGGAAAGTATAGGAATTGGTCCCGAAAACTTTTTTCGCAAAATTGGTTTAGATCATCATAAAAACTCATGTAACGCGTAGAAAACCACTTTTTGAGACACTTTTCCGTTCGTGTGCCGTCGTCGTTGTCGTTGTTGGTGTTTGTAAACACGATAACTCAAAAAATAATTGAGATAATCAAAATCTGGAAATGCCAAAAGTTTTTTATTCAAAAAACTTAGTTTAAGTTCGAAGATGAGTCATTTTTGATTTAATCCTGGGGTACTTGCCCTAAGAAAAACCTCAAAAAATTGACACTTTTGTATGGGAGGTACCTGTAAATCGACTCTGATTGGCTTCAAACATTCTGAGATTTCATTTTTTGGGCGAAGAATAAGATTTTGAAAATTTGAATCTAATCGGAATCGATTTACGGGTACCTCCCATACAAAATTTTTGAAATTTTGACTAAAATTACCGATTTTTGTACAATTTTGTATGGGAGGTACCCGTTAATCGATTCTGATTGGCTTCAAACTTTCTAAGGTTTCATTTTTTGGAGAAGAAATAAGATTCTGAAATTTTCATGTTGATCGCATTTGCAGAAGTTTGATTTTTTGTCCTCAATTTTTGTCGAAATTTTTTTGGAAAAAATTGAGGGTCGAAAACCAAACTTCTGCAAATGCGATCAACATAAAACTTTCAGAATCTTATTTTTTCTCCAGAAAATGAAACCTTAGAAAGTTTGAAGCCAATAGGAATCGGTTTACGGGTACCTCTCATACAAAATTGTTGAAGTTTTAGTTAAAGTGACCGATTTTTCAATTTATTTTCTTTATTATATTTTCACTGCCTTTATTTCAAGAAAATTCAGAAAAAATAACCAAAAGTACCTACGGACAACGCAGGCCAACGGTACTTTTTATTATCACCACGAATTTTGACATAACACATACAGCCACGAGAATAAAACGAGTTTTATTCTTGCTCATTACTACTGGACCGACAATGTCGGTGGCGAAGACTCTAAAAATACTCTCAGGGTCGGAAAATTTACCCATTGGTGGTAAAGTTGACTGGTTTTACCACCCGACACGTATGATAATTCTTCACATATTCCGGAATTGAATCTTTCATATTAGGGCAATAATAGTAACGACGGATTTTATTCAGCGTTTTAAATAAACCAAAATGACCCGACTTTACGTCATCGTGATTTGATAACTTCTTCACAACTCTCTTTCGGTACACACACTTTCCATTCCAAATCACTTGCCCCTTTTGAACGGAACTTTTTATACTTGTGTTGTAACACAAATTATTAATTGTCCAATTTCGGGATTCTTTTTTCAAGAAAATTCACAAAAAATAACCAAAAGTGCGGACAACGGTAGGGAAAAGTTCGGGATTACGAATGTATTTCATTTTATTTTGGTTCTTTCAACACGGTTTTCTCATGGTAAGCCGTGTTAAATGGTGTTATAACACGATGGCCTTTTTTCAATTTTTTTTTTCATTGAAAAAACCGAAAGGCAATCCGATTGACATATACAACAAAACATCAAAAAACAACAGAAGATGTGCGGAAAAGTACGTTTAACAAAAGTAAAGCTTCTTATTTTAAAGTGAAATACCAGAGCATTTCAAATTGAACCATTGGAATCAAATTTTATTGAAATGTTTCACGCGGTGTAACACATCGAAAAATTCTCTGTCGATGGGTTACGCTCTAATAATACTTTGGGAATATGTCTTGTTTTCAATCTCACCCATTCATATATTTCCTCATCCACTTGAAAAAGAAAAAAAAATGGGAGCGTCAAAGTTAGAAGCAAACCAAATGAATTGCAGCTCCGAAAAAATCACT